TTTTAATAAATAAACATAGATAAGATCAACAGCAACAACTCCTGAAAATTTCAATAGGATTGGTCAATTATTTTGGCTGAAACAAGCGTTGGAACCATAATGGAAAGCACAGCCTTTTCTTCTTTTATTATGCTATGCCTTTGCCAAATTTCGCCCATGACTCGTAAATATGTATGCATGTTACAGCCTCTTTCATTTTTGTAGTCGCAGATTCATGGTGTTTTGTGCTTTTTGCAAAAAAGTTTTAAATTCTCTCACAGCAAGAAAGCTGTGCACTCCTTGTCTCGGCTTCCCTCCATGTGTTGGCTGTGAGTTCTGCTAGTATTCAGTGACGTCAATTCATTGAACAGAAATGCAGATTTCCGATGATTTAGCAATAAATATAATATCACCTTAGTCCCTAGTACCTCAAATACTCGTCAAGGCCGATGTCCTTTCTTCAAAAGGGTATACATACATATGGATGTGTTGATTGCGGAATAGCCCTCCGGTGTTCAAAACTTCTCTCCCTCTCTTTGGCACATATCCTTCGTTTAAAATTGCACTTCTAATCAACCCACAGCTATAAGAAAACGCTTGGTTTTAAAGTCTAATTTGCAGTAATACTTTACCTCTCTGCATGTGTAAGAGTCCTTTGATAAAGGACATGTAATTGCAACTTGCTTCCAATATAAGTTTGGTTTTGCCTTTGTTAAATTCACGAAATTACATATGTACGACTTCATTTTATCAGTCGTGCTCCCATATCCACGTTTCGATTTCCTAACGTGATTTCAAATTCTATCATCGATAGAGATCTTTCTTTTTTATACTCTCTCTGCCTTCAGATTCCTTTCTTATTACACACTTTCCTTCTGTCCCATATATATATGTACGAGTATGCACATATTTTTTACCGGGGAATTCACAAACAGCCACCGTAGAAATTTCCCTTTCAGTTTGGACAATATCAGAATTTTTCCGTACAATCTTAAGGAAATTGGAAAAAAATATGAAAATTTCAAGAAAACAGCTAACTCAAAGATACTTTTTAAACAATCTTACAAATATCAGAAAATTTTTAGAAAAACTTTCAGAAGGCAAAAACTAACAAACTAGAACATTTTTGTTGCTTTACTTTAATTCGATTCAATTCATAAAAAAATGTATGAGAATGTGAAAGCTCGAGCATGAGTTATGTGATTGCAATCCGAATCCACTGTGGTGAATGACAAGAGTTGGACTGGTGCCCTACCCTTTACTCTACATATGTATTTATGTTAAAGCTTAATGTGGATTTGCGTATTTTCAGTTTACTAATTGACAAATTTTAAAATTAGTTATGGTTCGAAGCCACAAGTTGTTTCTCCTCCAAATATGTTTTTCTGTATGTGAGGATTGCACGGACAGTTGGATATAAAAATGTTTGGATAATAAATAATTGGCGCTCTGTAACCTTATAAGCGATTTTCCGTAGAGCTCCTTCTCCGATTTGTGGTTTTGCGTCCTGATGTATTTCCAAGGAAAGAACGGACCTACAGTTTATAATAAACCACCACCGAACGGCTGATGGGTTTTTACGAGAATCCTTTATTTCATGTTTCACTTAATTTTTTATTTTAAATTATTTTTCCATAACTTTTGTATTTTAGTCATATCAGGATTTGAACCTGGGACTTCCGAATGGCAGTACGCAATGCTAACCACTCAGCTATCGCAGTCGCCATAATTAATATCGGCTTCGTTCATGTCCTTTCGAAAAGACAGTACTTCTGTCTTGTTAGCAATCTCATTTAAACTCCAACATGGGCGGTAATAGTCAAAGATGGAGGCTAAGCGTAAAACCGTTGCCATGTATATGTACATAAATGCACACAAGTACAAGTTATCGAAACAAAATGATATTGTTAATGCTAAAACCACTCAATCAAAAAAGAGTCCAAATTTCCTGATTCAGTTATTTCTTTCTTTTTGCATTTGATATATTTCAAGGGTGTTTCATTTGGCAAATAAAAAAGTTTACACTAAGAACGATCCAAGATCAAGTTTTGAAACTATCTGGTAAAAAGGACTTAATAGGTCCAAAATCTCCAAGGAAATGATATTTCAGTTCTTGCAGCCTTTTATCCTTTCCAATGATAGGTTATTCACAAAAAAGCGATTTTCATAGGACTGGCTGCCATGCACAAATAAACCTATAGTTTTAGATTTTATTCTCATTCCATGTATACTACCTACTCGTATATATGTACGTATGTTTATATGTAAGAATTGGAAGTTTTTGAAACTAACTAACTGGAGACACTTACAAGCTTTCAACATTGGCAAATGTGATTGCAATAAAGTGTGGTAATGTCGTACCACTAGTTTGCTGTTTCTACCATGTTAATGGTAGACATACTGAATCTCCCCACTTACCGTCACACAAACATATTCACATGTACAAGCACACGCTTACATGTATTTAACAACTGTTACATGTCGAAGTCGATATTAAATGTAGGTTTTGAAACAGTTTCTCTATTCAAATTCGAACCAACACACATACATATATGTATATATGTACATACATATATATTTGCTTACGAGTGGTCTAGGAAGCCTTTTTGTTTTCGATATGTTCCATTATTTTGAACGTGTTGTGAAAGTCGGCAGAAGTTAATTTTTCATTAAAGCAATAATATGTAAATTTATAAACTGCGCTCTTTTTTGTATTCCATAACTTAATAAAAACGCAATTTCTTCTCTACAAATTAAGTATTTCTGTTTCTAATAATAGCTTCATCGTTGTGGGCAACAACACCTGGAGCTTCTTTATACACAAGAAAGTTTTGTAGAGTAATTACGTCCGAGGTCCACCCAAGCCCAATTGTGTATTGTCGTGAACTACATATACACAACCAAATATATGTGTATATAAATTTAAAATTTATATGTTTTTCGTTTTCAATTTTGGCCGTTCCAAGAAATTGAAATAAAAACTCTGTAACAATTTTTAAGTTTGAACCAGAAAAAAGGTGCTTCGGTGTAAAAAAGTGTTCTCAGAAGCATGAATAGGTTAGTCGACAAAATCGGTGTTGAATGGCAAGTCTGCGACAGAGAAGAATGTCAATTGTGGTAAAAAAGATACTTGTAAATCGTTGAGAATCTAACCAGATATGTTTGTAAAACGGCTTCAGATGGCCAGCCAGGAAATTAAGCAATGAATTTGCTAATGTTGAACTTCTCTGATGCTACTCAAATTTGGTTTACAAATTTACAACTGGGAACGAATAATCTCAATGCACACGGTGTATAGGAGTTCCTCGCATAAATGCGAGAAGGCAATTATCAAATGATCCGCCAAATGATACTGCTAAAGTGTTCATTGTTTGCATTGTAATTTACCATCTTGTGGTCCAGATCAGATACCTGGCTATCTGATCTGTTTTGCTTCTTCCCAGCTCTGCTCAATTGAGCTGAGGGGTATGCGATGCGATGCCTCCTATAGCATTGGGTAAAGACCACGTCTTTTTGAAACGAGACTAGTGCTCAAGTTGAATCTATTTCACATTCTTTTACATAATAGTTTTTCATGTGCACTTGCACCAATTATGGTTGTTATTGCCAACATGTAGTCGAATGTGTCAGTAATGAAATCTCGGTCAAAATGACAGTCGCGCTCGTTGGTGTGCGGTCATGAATATGCCCTCAACATTCTTTCCACAATAATGAATAAACCTATGCTCTGACGACTGAACCCGTATGCAAAGTGGTCGCAGTATAAAAGCGAAAATAATTTTTCCTAAACAACTTTTTTAAACTATTTTGTTTATTAAGCAATTTTAAATCTCCCTCTTCAACGAGGTTTTTTAACTTAAAACTTTGTCTGCATTTGGAAAACTATAAAAAGTCTTTAAACGTTATGTGCAAATCGTTCTTTTAGCTGTTGAACAAATAAATGATAGTTTGAAGCAATAATGTACTGGAATTGATGTAGTGAAATTTATGTGTATATGCATGAATGTGTGTGTTTATTTTACTGCCACTCAAGTCCAGCGTCCGTTGCACTAAGCTTTTCAGCCGCTGTATACATTCATACACATCAAGGCATTTAATCACCGCCATTCATTGGTCATAAACAAAAAGTGACCCGCATTCAATGTGCAATCAGTCGCAACGGCTAGGGAATAATTGGTAGCACAGGTAACTGCATGTTGGGCTCTCGTAGATATCAGTTCGACAATGTATCAAACAGAGCATTTCACTGCGGACCTCTTACTAAATGACAATATCCTTTATATCGCCGCAATAAACCAATATACGAATATTAACATATGTGTGAATGTAATTTGTAAAATAGACCCAACTCAATAACGTGTATTTTTCAGATTGTGGTATTTTCTTTTATAACGCCAAGGATTGAATCTGCATAATTAAACAAAAAGTATTAAAATCGTAATAAATTTTTAATCGTTTCCTAGGGGACTCGAAAGATTTTTTATCGGTTATTTTTTAATTCTGTTTCTAAAATTGTTATTCAAAATCTCTACATATGTATTGTACATTCTGGCTACGCGTATATCACTTGAGCTGTCAACTGAAATCGCTGCATTTTAGTTTTAATACAAACATTGTTATTATTATTATTAATTACCTAGGTCACTGTTAATTAAATTCATAACTCCTCGTGTTATTAATTTGATTTACGATTAATGACTTTGGTTTGCAAAATGGGCGAATCAAAACTCACACATATGTACATGCTTACGTTACATTGAACTTAATCTTATAAGCATCCAGCAGTGAACACTTACGCTACGACACGATGACAGCGGTATTAAAAAGGTTATTCACTTCTTCATATCAGTTAAAAGGCTGCATGTTACCATAGTGATTCATTTATAAAGCCTCATTGGGGCCAACTTAAAACTTCTTCATAGAAATGTCGCTCCAATTTGAATGTGATTTATTAAAGAAATTGAAATCAGTTGATTTACCTACACGTCTTAAACAGATAACAGAGAAGTATGGACGTCCCTTTTCATTTTCTTCTGCACTATTAGCATGAGTGTCACACTCACGGATATTCTGCATAATTATTGCACAAAATTTATTTCAAAAAAGGCTCGGTCGTCTAACAAATGCAAGTAACTCTCAATAAAAAACGATAAAGTCGGTTTTGACTTAAAAAAAGGCCACGAACTGAATATCCGCATTTCTTTTGGATTAATTTCAATCCAATCCAATCCAGCAATTTCGTATTGCTCGTAAGTTTTCGGATGAAATGCACATAAATGATAGCCAGGCAAAACTAGAATCATTTGTAACGAATTCGCACAAAACAAAATAACAATGGTCCCAGAACCAACTCTCCGAAGAAAGACAAATGCCAATCAGTTAAATGAACAATGAATAAATGTTTTGGAATAGATCAGTTCCGGAGCTCAGTTCTCAGAAGCCCAGATAAAAGAATATTGCGTATGTTAATCGAGATAAGGGGTATCATTAAGTATATTTTTTTAAAATAAGTTTTAAGTCTTCTCTTGATAAATACGAAGAACTGAAGAAATCCAGCCGTTATCAATTAATGAATTGCTTTTAAGCAAGGCTGCATCACGTGAATAAAAAAATGCCAATCGAGTCGGTTGAAACATTTGGAAATGTTATCGGTAAAACAGTTATTTAAATAAATTTTATTTCGTCTGTACCCGAAACAAAAAGCTGTCGTTGATGTTAAACGTTAAAATTTAAGCTTGATGATAACATCACGACTGCCAGCCATTCTAAAATTAAGATTAACTATGAGTTTTTGAAATTTCGTTAAGTTTATTTTTCATATTAACTAAATTTTTCATACAACAACAATTGATTGCAGTGAAGTAAACACGTTAAAAAATAAGTTCGTTATTTAGGAGTAGCGTTTAAAGCGCTGCCGAAAGCCGTTCTACGTCATTTCACAGCATTCATAAAGATTTATACTAAGCAAATAAAGATTAAAATATAGTAGGAAAATTTTATTCTACATATGCATTTAAATATATACATATATGAATGACCGTAATTAAATACAGTTCTACAATTTGAGAAACGGAGAGAAGATATCACTTTTTATTAATTGAGTTTCCTGCAAGGTCTCCACACGTGAGAATTCTAGTAA